AGGAGAGGGGGAGAGCACAGCCTTTCCCTCGTGCTCTGGGGAAGGTCTGCTTCGCTTTCCCAGAATGAACCTTTCAGTGTTCCTGGCTCCAGAGTTGTGCTGACTTTTGCACAGCTAACCACAGGATCAACTGCCTCTTGGGTGGTCTTCTTTACAATTTTTGATCATGGTGAACTTGAGACAAACAGACACTCCTATCAAAACCAATAATAACAACAACAACAGCTAGAAATGATTGGACGCTTGTGTGTCAGGAACCTTGTGAATAACATAAAACATATGTCAAGCTCAATGCTTTTTTTTATTGTAAGAAAGCTATCTCATTGATTTTATAAAAGACCTATTTATTAATTTGGCTGCCCTGGATATTAGTTGTTGCATGCTGGTCTTCCCAGGTGGTGCTAGTGATAAAGAATTTGCCTGCAATGCAGGAGACATAACAGACATGTGTTTGATCCATGGGTCGGGAAAATCCCCTGGAGGAGGGCTTGGCAACCCACTCCAGTATTCTTGCCTGGAGCATCCCATGGACAGAGGAGCCTGGTGGGCTACAGCCCATGGGGTCGCAAAGAGTCAGACACGACTGAGTGACTCACAGGGTCAGAGTGGAAAGGACGTGCTGATTTAGGATCATGGCATTGGGGCCCCACAATCCTCCCACGCCTTCCCTGAGACAGTGGCAACAAGACTGTCGTGATCCCCTGGCTCCTTTATTTTCACAGTCAGGGAGTCACATTCATTCCCTCAGGTCTCAAAAGCTCAAGTAAAAGATGTCATGAAGGATGGAGCTGTCCTTAACCCACATGTGCAGAAAAAGGGGCACAGCTGATTCCTATGTCATCAGCACCCCCTCACCCATGTTCCCGGAACAACACACATCTGACAACCTCCCCGGAGGAAAACCGATTTTGCCACCCCCTCTGCTGGGCCTCTGAGCATCCAAAGGCTGGACCTGCAGTCTTAGCTCAATCTCTAGAGAACTGGGGCCAGCCTGGACCTTGTGATGACCGCCTCTATGAAACAGGGATGAGAGATTGCAGTCCTTACTCCGACTTCCTGGGCCATTCTGAAGCCAAACACAAGTTGACCATTTCTGTTACTGCTGCCACTGCTAAGTGGACTGCTGATCTGAGCTACTATCTTTTATGTGTGTGTGGGGGTGGGGGGGAGTTGTTTTTTTTTTTAATGTTTGTTTATTTGGCTGAGCTGGGCCTTAGTTGCACAGAGGCTGTTCGATCTTTCTTGCGGCATGAGGGATCTTTCTCATTGTGGCATGTGAGACCTAGTTCCCTGACCAGGGATCAAGCCCAGGACCCCACATTGGGAGCCTGGAGTTGTAGCCACTGGACCATGAGGGAAGTCGCACAAACTACTATTTTCATCATTTGTTATCTTTCCACTTAAAATCATTGAAGGGGAGTAGTCAGGGGGTAAGAGAAATTTTCCCTCTTTTTCCATCCCCACCCTTCTTATGATATTTCTACTTGAGTTAGAACCCTTGGACAACTTTGTGGTTTAATTAGTTCACTCTCATTTGTATGAATTTCAGATGTGATACTCTTCTGTGGGGTGGGGGGCAGGGGTGGGGGGCAGGGAGGCAGGGGGTGAATTCTTTGCCTCGTGAAGGGTCAGATCACACAAACAAGATCCGAAGTGGGGAGGGAATATAAGATGCTAAAGCTTGGCCATCAAGGGTCCTATTGGGCAGAGGAGGCTGACTGCCCCCGCGGGCTGGCACAGTCAGCGCTGGGCTCTCTGAGTTGGTGTGTGCTCAGGCCCTGTGCCAAGTAAACCCCAACAAAATGCTGTAATTTCTGGGGTTCATTCAGTCGCTCAGTCGTGTCCGACTCTTTGTGACCCCATGGACTGCAGCACACCAAGCTCCCTGGTCTATCACCGACTCCTAGAGTTTGCTCAGACTCATGTCCATCAAGTTGGTGATGCCATCCAACCATCTCATCCTCTGTCATCCCCTTCTCCTCCTGCTCTCAATCTTTCCCAGCATCAGGGTCTTTTCTAATGAGTCAGTTCTTTGCATCAGGTGCCCAAAGTATTGGAGCTTCAACTTAAGCATCAGCCCTTCCAATGAATATTTAGGACTGATTTCCTTTAGGATTGACTGGTTTGATTTCCTTGCTGTCCAAGGGACTCTCAAGAGTCTTCTCCAACTGTTCAAAAGTATCGATTCTTCGGCACTCAGCCTTCTTTATGGTCCAACTCACATCTGTACATGACTACTGGAAAGACCATAGTTTTGACTAGACAGACCTTTGTTGCAAAGTAATGTCTCTGCTTTTTAATTTGCTATAATTTTTCTTCCAAGGAGTAAGCGTCTTTTAATTTTATGGCTGCAGTCACCATCTGCAGTGATTTTGGAGCCCCCCAAAATAAAGTCTGTCCCTGTTTCCTTTGTTACCTCATCTATTTGCCATGAAGTGATGGGACTGGATACCATGATCTTCATTTTTTGAATGTTGAGCTTTAAGCCAGTGAGGAAGGCTTAATACCCACCCAACCCCAACTCCTATGCCCAGCTGGCCCTGAATAACACATGTCATCTTTTAAACAGGGACAAAGCCTTCCTTAAAAAAGATGTATGTATCTATTTACTTCCTTGGCTGTGCCGTGTCCTGTTTGTGGCACATGAGATCTCCTGTCTTTGTGGCAGGTGTTTTAGTTGTGGCACGTGGGATCTAGTTCCTTGACCAGGGATCGAACCCAGGGCCCCTGCATTAGGAGTGCAGAGTCTTAGCCACTGAACCACCAGGGAAGTCCCAGGACAAAGCCTTTACTTAATTCCACAAATAGAAGTAGGAGTTGAAATGCCAGTGAAAGCGTGGTTTCTAAAGTAAAGAAATTAACAGGTTGAGTTACAATGGAAGCATATTCATAGAGGCTTCCGGAAGGACCTGCCAGGGAAGATCACACAATCCCCTGGAGAAAGGGAAAACAGTATAAAAATTCCTTCACATTGTGTGAAAACAACAAATTGAGCTTATTTGCAGAGCCCAGGGTTTGCTATGAGAAAAGAAGGGAGGGGATGAGCTAACTCTGGACCCTTAAAATAGAGGGTGTGGGCAAGGGTGCAGTAGTCTGAGACCAGATGGGAGAGAAAAGTGACTCGTGATTGCAAAGAAAGAGTGGACATTTGTCAAATAACTCTCTGTTAGAAAATGAGTCGGTTTCTAATGCACATATAAAAAGTACTGGCATGTATTTATTTCAGATGATACATGAACAGATGTTTTATATTCTTCTCTGCACGTTTCCATTATTTCAAATTTTTATAGATACAAATAAGGGCCCTTTGGGAAATAAAAGTTGAAAACTAAAAGTTCCTATTAAGACAATCGAATACTGTGTAGCTGTTACCAAAAATCTGAGGCCGATCTCTATGTGTTCACATACAAAGATCTCCAAGAAGCACTGTGGAGTTAAAAAAAAATTAAAAAAAAAAAAAAAGCAAGTTTCAGAATGGTCTATTTCACCCAGTCCTAACTGAATGAAATGCTTTTTAAATCCGTGTGTATCTTGCTATATGGATAGAATTAAATCTGGAAGAAGAAATAAAGCATTAACGCAAGTGGGATTATTATATACCTTGTTATGTTCATTTCATATGGTACAAATTTTTATAAGTGAAAACTACTTTTATAATCATAGAAAAGTGACATTGAGTTTTATAAGTAATCCTGGAAGCCGGGAAGCAGCAGTGCTGGTCCCCTAGCCTTTCCAGATTAGCAGGCTGCCCAGCGACTGGAGTTCTCACCGGCTCTGTGCGTGTCCGGCCTCCCTCCTGACTTGACGCTTGCGTGTCTGAGTGGGGGTCCGGGACTCATGCCAGCAGCCGTGGCGATGACAAGCCCCAAACCACGTTTGTTCCATTACTTCCAGCTTCTTTCCAATCTCACCGGTGAGAGCTCCTCTCTCTTATCTGCTCAGAGCTTGAGTCAAAAGTTCTTGTCAGTGTGATTGCAGAACACCGGACTGGAAAACTTGCTGATAATACGTAAATTCCTTTCCAAGAGCTGTGCCTGCAAGCAGGTCAGGAGGGCTCTGTGGCCTCGGCACATTTTGTACTCTGTGCTTGGATAATAAGAGAGGAGATCTGGCAACTGAGAAATGGGAGGGACATTTGAGGATGTCACCACAGTCCCATCTGGTCTGGTAACCCCACTTCCCAAGCCCAGGCCTGGGTTCCCCTCCCGACACCACACAGGCTGCTGGGGAAGAATCTGAACATGTGCGAGTCTCTGGGGATTTCCAAAATAGACACAAAGATAAGAAGAATAACAACAAAATCCAAAGAATAAAAAAAATAATAAAGATCATGCTCCAGTTTCTGAGACACATTTATGGCTTTTTATAAACAGATATGCGTTTGTTGAATGGGACTTCAGTACACCCTGGTGACATTAGCCCTCTTTTGACTTTTAGAAATTTAAATTTAGGAGCTCCCCTGGCTTATCCTTAATAGCAAAGTTTGTAAAACATTTCGTGCTGGGTGCCTGATTTGTATTTGAACACGATGCAAATGGCATGCTGTCACATCAACTTCACCTCTGATCGTAAAGCCCAAGGGAGACAGGGGGCCTTCTCCTCCAGTGACCCATATTCTTTCCTTCATCTTCCCTGATTTAGCTTCAGAAAGATAGGGGTTCACATAACAAAATGTGCAGGAATGGATCAACACTAAGTAAAGGTTGACAGGTGATGATAGACCTTTAGTATGTCACTCATTCCTCCCTGCCAAACATGCCACTTTTATAAATGCAAGTCCCCCTCTACGGAGTAAATAGAGGAGAGACCACATCATTTTAAATATACCTTTACTCTTACCTTGGGCTTCCCTGGTAGCTCTGGTAGTAAAGAATCTACCTGCAGTGCTGGAGACCTAGGTTCCTTGAGCTGGGAGCTCTGAAGGCAGCGGGTAGTGCTCCGGATGGGGGTGACATCTGGAAGCGTGTCTGCTGACCCAGTCTTGGCTTCCCCTCCCTCAGGGAACCAGGTGACTTTCTCCAAGTCGGCCGATGCGTTTGCCTTTGAGGAGGACAGCAGCAGCGATGGGCTTTCTCCGGATCAGACTCGAGGGGAAGACCTCCAGGGCTCAGCAGGATCCCCCCCAGACACAAAAGCTACGGAGACCCCTGTGGCAGGTCCTCTCGGGACAGTCCAGGTAAACAAACCCCTCTTCCAGCCTGCTCGTCTCTTCAGTCTTGAAATCATGGCTGCCGTGGTGGGTTTAGCATAGAGATGTTTCTTTAGACCCAGAGATGTCTCTTCACGACACATCGTCCTGTTGCTAATTCTCACGGTGTTCAGTTCAGGGTTCTGTGTGTGAGGGCAGGAGCTTCCAGAAAACACCAAGAGAGAGAGAGTCCCTGGAAATATGTCCTGCAACTTACATTTTCAGTATCTACTCGGCTAAGTAGATGTCTTTTATCTCCGTTTTTGCAGACAAGGTAAAAATGAGGCTCCCCAAGATTTGGCAGTCAGTGGACAGTCTCCTGGAGAGAAAGGGCCACTGCAGGACTGGTTTCAAAGCCAGCAGTCCTTCCTGTGATTGAGCTGCCACTGCAGGATCTGGGGAGAAGGAGTAGGAGGTGCTGCTGGTAGTTGTTCAGTTGCTAAGTCGCATCCAACTCTTTGTGATCCCAAGGACTGCAGCACGCCAGACTCCTCTGTCCTTCACTGTCTCCAGGAGTTTGCTCAAATTCATGTCCACTGAGTCAGTGATGCTATTTCATTCATCTCATCCTCTGCTGCCCGCTTGTCCTCCTGCCCTCAATTTTTCCCAGCATCAGAATCTTTTCCAATGAGTTGGCTCTTCACACCAGGTGACCAAGAATTAGAGCTTCATCTTTAGCATCAGTCTTTCCAATGAATATTCAGGGTTTATTTACTTTAGGATTGACTGGTTTGACCTTCTTGCCGTCCAAGAGACTCTTAAGAGTCTTCTCTAGCACCACAATGGGAAAGCAGATTCTTTGGCACTTGGTCTTCTTTATGGTTCAAGTCCCACATCCGTCCTTGACTACTGGAAAAACTGATTGGCTGAAAAGCAGGAGCCCCAAGCTGCTCCTGCCTTTAGCAGGCGTCCACCCACCAAATCCTGCAAGGGCTGCCTCCAGCCCCAACCCAAACATAGCACTCCCCTCTTTCTGAACAAATCCACAGACTGTCCAGACATGATAAATATATGTTGCAAATACTATTCAAAGCACATTTATAAAGAGCAGGATGATAGCTGTCAACAGCTACTGCCATGATTAAGCACTAGCTATGTACCAGCACCAGTGCTAGGCACCTTGCAGGTGTTTTCTGTCAGATGTTACAAAGAAGGAAATGAGTTGGTGAGGCTGAGTAGTGTGTGGCCCCAGGAACACCACAGACCACCCCCTCCCCAAATCTCTGGAGCATCCCCTCTAGAGGCCACATCCAGTCTTGATGGCACTCCCCTCTGCCTGGCAGGATTGTATTTCTGGAGCCCCCAGAGAAGATGAGTGTGAATGTCCGCACAGGAGGGAGAGGAGGGGTCGCTCGTGTGACAGCAAGATGTGAATCTTCCACCACATCCCGGCTCTGGAGAGAACCCTCCACCCTTAGCCCCTTCCCTTCAGGAAGACCTCACTCCTCTTGGCCTCACAGGAATTGTTCAATAACTTGAAATCAGATTATATATATATATATATATGTGTGTGTGTGTGTGTATATATGTTGCATATTTTTATTAACATGTATTATTTTACATGGGGCTTCCCTGGTAGCTCAGTGGTAAAGAACCTGCCTGCCAATGTAGGAGACAAAAGTGATGCGGGTTTAATCCCTGGGTCAGGAAGATCCCCTGGAGAAGGAAATGGTAACCCATTCCAGTATTCTTGCCTGGGAAACATCATGGACAAAGGAGCCTGGTGGGCTATAGTCCCTGAGGTCGAAAAAGAGTTGGACACAGCTTAACAACTGAGCATGCATTATTTTATGTATTTTAATTATCTATATTGATATCTTATATCTTATTTTTATTATATATAGATATTTTATATCTGTGTGCACTTTTAAGTTTTTAATTGAGGTATAATTGGCATCTAACATTGTATTAATTTAAGGTGTTCACCACAACTGTTTGATACCATATATGTCATGAAAAACACAATGTATACAGTATATACAATATCAGATGTAGGACATAATTGTTGGATATTATATCTACTGTATATATTGTGAAATATAACATATGCATGTGATATATAATAATATATGTGTGAATTATGTGTGTATTTCACAATATATATGATAGATACAATATATCATCATGTATATTGTGAAATGATCACCAGGATAATTCTAGTTAGCATCCATCTTCATGTATAGTTACAAATTTTCTTTCTAGTGATGAGAGTCTTTAAAATCTACTCTCTTAGGAACTTTCAAAGAGACCATGCAGTCTTGTTAACTATGGTCACCATGCTGAACATAATACCCTCAGGATTTATTTATTGTATGTGTGTGTGTGTTAGAAGCTCAATCTGTCCAACTCTTTGCAACCCCATGGACTATAGCCTGCCAGGCTCCTCAGTCCATGGAATGCTCCAGGCAAGAATATTGGAGTGGGTTGCCATTTCCTTTTCCAGAGGGTCTTCCCAACCCAGGGATTGAACCTGGGTCTCCTACATTGCAGGCAGATTCTTTACTGCTGAGCTACCAGGGAAGCCCGATTTATTGTATAGCTGGATGTTTGTACTTAAACCCATATTAGTTGAAAACATTTTTAAACTGTAAAGCATGGAGGGATCAGAGACAGTTTCAGGAGTTATTTACCATGACCCTCTCTCCTGAAACTGCACTGTTACCGGTCATTGTCAGGCCCCTCTTCACTCCATCAGAGCAAATTCAAGGCTGCCAGGAGGAAATGTGGAATGAAAAGGAGACAGAAGACAGAAAAAGCAGAGCCAAAGAGCTGCATGCTTATTGTGCAAGAGTTTGTAATCAAAGCATTCTTTCTTCCCTGCATCCCGAGCTTCTTTGCAGCCCAGCGTCTTTGATAACATCAAATAGTACATCGGGCCATTTGTATTCTTATTGCTCTGATAGTAAATTCCTCAGCTTCTGATTTAAAGATGTTTTGGGAAGAAGACACACACTTTTCTTTTTCACCCTTAAAGTGTGGAAGAAGGGAATGAGCACTGAGCAATGTCAGGCAAAATGCAAAAATCATTTTACATCCGTTAACCCAGCAGCCTCAAGTGATAGATGAGGGCATGGGCTCTGAGAAAAAAGGATGCTCCAGACCTTTGATACGTGCTCAGGCAAAGACTGGGCAGCTCAGGGGCCTTTCCTCAAAGTCGCGGCATAGGATTGTGGGAGAGGAAGAGGATGCTGTGTTCATTTCTGCATCCTCTGCGGGTGGGAACGTGCCTCTCATTAAGGTCTTCCTGATGCTGCACCCATGTACACACATATTTATATACACAGACATACACACAGACACACATGTATGCACACAGAGACACACACGCAAAGGAATGTATACACATACACATATGCACACATACATTACAGAGGCATACACAGTACACACAAATACCTACACACTTTCCTTCCATCTGCCAACCCCCTTCTCATCTAGCCTTTTCATTGTCCTAACTTTCCCCCAAAGTTCCTCCACTCATTCCTCCCGCTTCCTCTCTTTTTCAATCCCACTGTCAATTCCAACATGTAGACCTGACTGCAAGTAGGTGGATCCTGCCCACAGGGTGACCAGATGTCCCAGTTCACCTAGCCCAAGCCAGTTCTACACCTGTTGGATGGGATGATTGTTTATCATGCTTGCTTTCTCTCTTAAAAAGGGTCCTCAGTTGGTTGACAAATCATGTACCTGACTCTCCACCCCCAGGGACAGAGCCTGAGGTTTTCCTCAGATAAGAAGCTGGGATTAACACAGCAGACCTGGGGGGTGAGGGTGGGCGCCTCCACTGCAACATTTCCGTGTCACAGTTTCTACTCCTGCATCCTAATCAGGCTCAAATTTGGATTTTCAGGATCCAGAAAATGAGAGGAGTGACTCAGCCCCACAACCCGGCAACCAGCCAGACCCGGGCAAGCAGGGGCTTGGCTCCCTGGGCAACCCCATCCCTGTGCACACAGCCGTAAAGGTAGGATGGGCCAGCCTCCACGCCTGCCCGAGCGTGCCGCTCACGGGCCACTGTGGGGCGGGGTGTGCTGAGTCAGGTCTGGCAACGGGGAGAGTCATGTGACCGATGGATGGATTCAGTCCACTGGGAGCATCACTAGACAGGGGTTGAGAAGTGGGCCATCAGTGTACGTGGACCAAGGCGCTCTTGCCCATCAGGGGTCTTCCCCACCGAAGAGAAGCATCTATCGCTCCTTTCTTTGGGCTCACAGTTCAGCCAGCAGGTTCCTGACTTGAAAACCTCCAGTAGCTTAGCCTAGAGACAGATACTGACTGCAATGCACACAGGATTTGCACGCGCCTTAACACAGGTATAGAGCAGTGGCTTTTACACAAGGGAGGCCAGCCTGACGGCCTTGCCTAAAGTAAAACCTCTGTCATTCAAGCCAGTATCCCTGTGGACATAAAGATGAAGGGAGGGATTACATTAGCAGGAGGCACAGAATAAGCAGGATCGCGTAGTTTGGGTTTAATTTTCTCAGCGTCCTATCTAACAGTTCACAAAGTATTTTCTCCTCAGTTAACTGGTAGTCATTTGACTTTTTTTTCATAATATTTTATCCCAAATAACTTCTCATTGACTTGGGGGCATATTAATATTTTCTCAGTTCTAAAGCTGGCACTTAATGCTGAGATGATTCTTAAGAAATACTTTTAAAAGCTTGTAAATTGAGTAAGAATCAGTGTTAAAGTAATGGCCCTGCCACCCCCTCCACTGCGTATACACAAGAGTCGTTTTCTTTTTTTTAAATTTTATTTGTTTATTTATGGCTGTGCCGGTCATCATGCTGATGGGCTTTTCTCTAGTTGCAGAGAGTGGGAACTACTCTCTAGTTGCAGTGGGTGGGCTTCTCATCGCCGTGGCTTCTCCTGGTGCAGAGCACGGGCTCTAGGGCGCTCGGGCTTCAGTAGTTAGTTGCAGCACGCGGGCTCAGTAATTGTGCCTCACAGGCTCTAGAGCACAGGCTCAATAGCTGTGGTCCTCAGGCTTAGTTGCTGTGGGATCTTCCTGGATCAGGGATCAAACCCGTGTTTCCTGCACTGGCAGCCAGATTATTTACCACGGAGCCACCAGGAAGCCCACAAAACTAGTTTTCATGTTCTGAATGGATGGCAGGCATTTCTGATTCCCAGGAAAGCTCCCCAGACTGCAGTGGCCTAAACCCAGCCTACCATCCACTCTTCCCTGGTGGATCAGCTGGTAAAGAATCCACCCGCCAACGCAGGAGACACCAGGAGACCTAGGTTCAATCCCTGGGTTGGGAAGTTTCCCTGGAGAAGGGAACCCACTCCAGTATTCTGACCTGGAGAATTCCATGGACTTGTCCATGGAGTCACAAAGAGTCGGAGATGACTGAGCGACTTTCACTTCACAATCCACTCAGCTCAACAGCTTTGAAATTATGTGGCTATTGGTGAATTTTGTTCATTACAGGTGGAGGGAGGAAACATATTGATTTGGGAGCACATTAATATGATTCAGTGATTTCCACCATTGGGAGCAAAGAGAAATTGTATTAATATTTCTACTGAAGTGTTTAAATTTTGCCTAATGCAAATGAGTTTGAAAAGGCCCTGATGCTGGGCGAGATTGAAGGCGGGAGGAGAAGGGGACGACAGAGGATGAGATGGTTGGATGGCATCACTGACTCGATGGACATGAGTTTGAGTAAGCTCCGGGAGTTGGTGATGGACAGGGAGGCCTGGCGTGCTGCAGTCCATGGGGTCGCAAGGAGTCAGATGCAACTGAGCGACTGAACTTAGCTGAATGCAAATGAGCCAAGCCTTCAGCCTCTTCGTACTAAGAAAGTGTAGTAATAGTCCTGAGAAAGGACAATCAGTTTCAATGAAGAGTCTTGTCAAAAATATGCAACTATAATACAGTTACAAGTGTGCTTCCCATGTGGCACTAGTGGTGAAAAAAAAAAAAACCTGCCTGCCCATGAAGATGTAAGGGATGTGGGTTTGACTCCTGGGTTGGGAAGATTCCCTGGAGGAGGGCATGGCAACCCACTCCAGCATTCTTGCCTGGAGAAGCCCATGGACAGAGAAGCCTGGCGGGCTCCAGTCCACGGGGCTGTATGGAGTCAGACATGACTGAGCAAATGAGCGCAGCCCATGTAAAAGTTTCAGTGATTCAGAGTTCCGTGGGTTCAATGGTCTGTGCTCCTCACTATCTGAAGAAAATGGTCCGATTTACAATACCTTTTGAATGCAGAGAGTCTCTGTGATAATAAGGCAACAAATAGAGAAGATGACTGAGCCCCTGATTTAGTTGCTTTAGACACAAGGCTCCAGCTTCCCCAGACAAGCAGGTCCTAGGAGGACTGGGAGCAGGGCAGAGCTGACTGCAGGAGCTCGGGGGAAACTCTCCCAAGAACAGAAGGCTGACTCACTACCTGGAGCACTAACCCATCGATGAATGAGCAGGGAGGAGGGCCCCCGGCCCATAGGAATCCTTGAGCTAAGTGTACAAGAAGAAGCCTTCCTGAGAAAACACACACACAAAAGGCTTTGGTGGACGGGCACGCTGAGTCAGAGAAAAGCAAATCCAATAGGTCACCTTCAGATGTGTGTTTTGTAGTTAAAATGGGAAAGCTGCCAGGTGACAACCTGCCTGCTGGCTATTCAGGAGCTCCCTCTTCTGGAAACTGCTGGTACCACATCTTCCCCCGCCAGCTTGTCCTCAGATCAAGACCCTTCCATCATCACATCCCTGTTCATTTCAATCTTCTGTAATACAGTCAGGGATTGGACATTTTTTTTAACTGACTGAAATACACACCTACTGCTTCTCCATCTCTGGAGGTCTTTGGATTTCAGGAACAGGTTATAAATATAATCACACTGTCCTTTGAAATCTTATTGTTTCAACAATATACTTTACCATCCTCCCATTGGTTACTGAGATCAAAACTAGAGAATATTTTACCCAACTTGCAGGTCGGGGTCATTGAGATGTGGTAAAGTTGGATAACTATACCACATTCAAAAACGTGTCTTTACTTCCAGGCCTCTGTCCTTAACTTTTTTCAAGGGTCCAAACTGTACACCATGATTGGTAACTTCTGGAAAGGTCTCAGTGGGTAACTTGTCCTTCCTATAGTCAAAGAATCTTTAGTTCAGAGGGTGTCACTTCCTGATCTTATATCAGTATTTGGTGGGAAGGGGAATTGATTTAGAAGCAACAAGAATCCACCTTTTGGGTTTTTAGAGACAGCCTTAATTTCATCTTCTTTCATGTTGTTAATAAGTCAGCTCACAAGGAGCTTCCCTAAAGATGATGACACATAGACAGATGAAAGAACCTTCTTGGGACCTCCCTGGTGGTGCAATGGTTAAGACTTCCCCTTTCAGTGCGGGGAGTGTGGGTCTGATCCCTGGTTGGGCAGCAAAGATCCCACATGCTTCACGACCAAAAAACCAAAAGAGAAACAACAGTGCAACAGATTCAATAAAGACTTTAAAAATGGTCCATGTCAAACTTTTTTTTTTTTTTAAAGAACCTTCTTATGAATCTAACCCAAGAACAGAATGTCGTCTTCATTAGTCATCAGATTTAGGTTTTAGGTTAGGAAGCTGGCCTCACTGACACATAGACTTAACCTCTCTGTTCTGGGAAGGAGGTTCCCCGAAGCCACTTCTAAGACTCAAGACTTCCTGCCTAAGGAGTGTCCGTCCTTTGCGTTGTATTTGCATGGATTTGTTTGTTAGGTACCTTAACGTCCTAACGTCTCATTGTGCCTCCTGTCTTTGCTATATTGTGTGTTGGGGGCCCAAGAACATCCATCAGATACAATCTAGAGATAATATTCCTGACGCCAAGCCGTTCCCATCCACCACCTAAAAGCACATGCCGTGTCTCCACCCACTTTGCAGTCCAAGTCCTTGGGTGACAGCAAGAACCGCCACAAAAAGCCCAAGGACCCCAAGCCGAAGGTGAAGAAGCTCAAATACCACCAGTACATCCCCCCGGACCAGAAGGCCGAGAAGTCCCCTCCGCCCATGGACTCCGCCTACGCCCGGCTGCTCCAGCAGCAGCAGCTCTTCCTGCAGCTGCAGATCCTCAGCCAGCAGCAGCAGCACCGCTTCAGCTACCCCGGGCTGCACGCAGCTCCACTCAAGTAAGTCAGGCAAGCCCAGGGGGTGGGGGGCGCGGGGCACCGGGGATGGAGGCTGGCTGTGGCTTCTCCATCAGAGGCCCCAGCGGGTCCCACCCCACACCACGTCCTGGTGGTCAGGTCACCCAGTCTTCGCCGTACCACCAGACACCTCTCTGACACCAACTGGGGTGGGGTGGGGGGTCCCACAGCTCAATTCAGTTCTGATGCCCCAGAGATGGTGTTGGATCTCAGTCTCACAGCTTGGGGCTTAGTCCCCCAAGACTGGCCCCTCACCCTCCAGACACCAGTCACAAGTCCAAGTTGTCACCTGTCCTTCTGACAGACCAGCTATCAACTGGACATTCCAATAACCTCTTCCTTGAGTTCCAATTAATTTGCTAGAGTTACTCACAGAACTCAGAGAAACATTTTACTTAATAGACTACTGGTCTGTTGTAAAAGCACATAGCTCCTCATGGGAACAGCCAGATGCAAGAGAGGCTCAGGGCAGGGTACATGGGAGTCAGGCAGAGCATCCATGTCCCTCCAGATACACCACTCTCCCCAAATTTCCATCTGCTACAAAACCTGGAAGCTCTCTGAACCCCATTCTTTTGGGTTTTTATAGAGGCTTCGTTACATTATTGAGTAGATCATTGGCCATTGTGAATCAACTCAACCTCCAGCTATTTCTCTTCTGTAAAGGTCAGGGGTGGGACTGAAAACTCCAACTCTCTAATCTCATGGTTCAGTCTCCAGGCCACCAGCCTCCATGCTTATGTGGCTTCCAACAGTCACTTCATTAGGATAACAAAAGACAGCCTTGTTCTCCTGACTTAGGAAACTCCCCGGGTTTTAGGAGCTGTGCAGAAACCAGGATGAAGACCAAATATATACATTTCCTATTATAAATCACAATGTCATATCCCTATACATAAATTTGACTGTATTTTCAGTACCTCTTCTGTGTTTGTTTTACAGGGAACCAAATGAGCAGATGGCCAGAAATCCAAACGCTGCTTCAGCACCGTTGAGCAGTACCCCTTTGTCTCCTGCAAAAAACAGCTTTTCTGGACAAACTGGTGTCTCTTCTCTCAAGCCAGGCCCACTCCCATCCAACCTAGATGATCTGAAGGTATAGGGTTTGGCATTATTTTGGTTTTTTAAAACAAATATTTTTAAAATATTTATATGTTTATTTGGCCTTGCCGGGTCTTGGTTGTGGCATGCAGGATCTTTAGTTGCAGAGTGTGGGATCTAGTCCCCTGAGCAGGGATGGAGCCCAGGTCCCCTGCGTTGGGAGCACAGAGTCTCAGCCACTGGGCCATCAGGGAAGGCCTGCTGTTCAGTGGCTCAGCCATGTGTGACGCTTTGTGACCCCACAGACTGCAGCATGTCAGGGTTCCCTGTCCTTCACCATCTCCCAGAGTTTGCTCAAACTCACGTCCATTGAGTTGGTGATGCCATCCAACCGCCTCATCTTCTGCTGCCCCCTTCTCCTCCTGCCCTCAACCTTTCCCAGCATCAGGGTCTTTTCCAATAAGTTGGCCAAAGTGGCCAAAGTATTAGAGTTTCATCTCCAGCATCAGTCTTTCCAGTGAATATTCAGAGTTGATTTCCTTTAAGATTGGCTGGTTTGACTTAAAAATTCATCAACAATAAAAACACCAGTGAGTGTATGAAAGAGGTGAATACAAATCTTTGTGCCAAGCAAGCCTACACAGCATAATAGTCTGAAATTTAAAGTAAACTGAACAAGTATTCATTTTATTTTAGAATATGAGCTGCATTATTTAATAATGTAGTTTAAATTATTCAGTGCCAGAGCAGATTCTAAAAATAAATGTAGAACTCATTAATTTTAAGTAATTCTAAATTAAAACAATAATGAGTTGCCATTTTTCCACTTTTTCAAACCAGTGAATATAAAAGAAAATGGTAGGACAATACTAGCCACGCTAGGAGGCTGAGAGCATATTATATTGCTTGTGATATAGTAAGTAATTGCAATCCCTTTTAAGATAATTTTTTAAATAACTCTTAAGGTAATATATATTCACTACTGAAATATGGTAGTGTATAAAAAAAGTATTTCAAAAGACAATTGACTCAGAGATTCTATAGATTTCCTTCTAGACTTAAAATATTTGTGAACGTGTTTGGTTTTAAAATAATTATGTGAGTATACACTTCTGGCATACTTTTCTATTTTATTTATCATGGACTTTTTCATAACTTTTAATATTCAGTAAGGTTTTTCTTTTTAGTACTGGCATATCATTTCTCCACCTCATTGACCTCCAACTATTGGACTTTTGCTTCCAAATTTTTGCTATTAAAAGTATAATTCACATGCACATTTAATTTCTCTAATTATCTCCCCAGGCTGCATACACAGGAGTGGAACGCTTGAACCTAAACACATGACTATTTTTGAAAGCTCTTAGTCCATTTTGCCACATTCCTGTCCTGAATGTTTGTGCCAATCTATTCCCAGAAGGAGTGTGTTAGGGCAACACTCCTCAAGTGGCATGTGCCCAGCGGCCACCTGGGGCTCGTGGTCAAATGCAGATTCTGACTCGATAGGTGTGGCGAGGGCCCTGAGAGTCTGCATTTCCATCATAAGTTCCCAGATGCTGTCTGATGCTGCTGGGCCCATGGCCACGCTCAGAATAGCACGGTTTAAAAAGCTTTTTTTTTTCTTAACATTTTTGTACAGTTATTTTTGCTGCTACTTCACTGACACAAAGTGTTATTATTCATTTCTTTGTCGATCTGGTGAACACAAAGCTATGTATGTATTTCTTGGAATACTAGCTGGTACACAGATGTTATAGGTCATTTTTCTTTTAATATTTTTAAGGATTTTTTTTTTGATGTGAACCTTTTCTCAGGTCTTTATTGAATTTGTTACAATATTGCTTGTTTTATCTTTTGGTGTTTTGGCCACAAGGCATGTGGAATCTCAGCTTCCCAATCAGGAATCGAACCCACACCTCTTGCATTGGGAGGTGAAGTCTTAATCAATGGACTGATGGGGAAGTCCCCATTTTCTTTTAATTTTATCTTTTGTTTGTGAAGGGTTGGATCATGTCCATAACCCAGTTTTAGTTTGGATGTCAATATTTTCCTTTGGATACACTGATATTCCTTTGGATACTCTTACCCTGCAGTTTTTTGGGGTTTTTTTTAGTGAGATGGCTATTTGGATTTTCTCCCAGTATTTTTGACTTATAGTTTTCAGTTTTGTGGTCAGTATTTTTATTATTAGCCTCTTAGCTTTGAGACTCAAAAAGACCTTTTTGTACAAAATGTCAGAAGACTATATCCCTACCAATTTCTGGCTGTTGTATGGAATTATTGACACTTAGGTATTTGATTACAAAAGTAATATGCTGATGAGGGCTATTTTAGAAATACAGATAAAGACAACTGTTGTTAGAATTTTAGCTTATTTTTAATCCAGATGTTTTCATGTGTAAGCAGAGGTTTCAATATATATACATATACACATATTTATAGGTGTCCCTGGTGGCTCAGTGGTAAAGAATCCACCTGCCAACACATGAAACACAAGTTTGATCCCTGGGACAGGAAGATCCCCTGGAGAAGGAAATGGCAACCCACTCCAGTATTCTTGCCTGGGAAATCCCATGTACAGAGGAGCTTGGTGGGCTACAGTCCATGGGGTCAAAAAGAGTTGGACTGAGGTGACTAACACAACAGCAACAAACATTTAGATATATAAATGTGGGGTTAAAATAAATACATGTGAATCCGCATAATGATAAAGCAAGCACCTTGCACCAACAATTGTGAGGCACTACTCCAAGCCCTTTACAAGTCCTAAGCCATTTCCATCCCCACAAAAATGTGTAAGAGAGATACTGTCACCCCATTTCACAGAGCGATCACTGAGCTGGGAGAAGGCGGGGCCAGGATTTGAACTGATGGTCTCATCTCTGCACACACTTTTCTCAGTATATGACCGTTATCCAGCCAGTGACTAAAATTAGGACATTCATGGTAACGCAGAACCGTGATGCTCAAAGCCTGGTCCTGGCACTGACAGCATCCTCCAGGAACTTGTTCAAGACCCAGATTCCCAGTGCCCAACCCAGACTTGCTGAATCAGGAACCCCATAGCGGGGGATGGCTCTGCTCTAATGCTCTTGCCAGGTGTGGGGAAGATGGGGTGAGCAGGATGTTCACCAAGGGCACAGAGATCCTGGCATGTCAGGCTGTCCTGTGTTGTTGGTTAAGGGTTGATGTCTAAACCCAGGCAGGTACCAGATTTCTTACCTCTTAAGTGGGGGCAAGGACCAGGATGGGGGTTGCAAAGCAGTAGACCAGATGACCCCTGTGGTTCATCTAAGCTGGATGTTTCTGTAATCTGAGACTGTGAAAACATGGTGTATGATTTTTTTTTCAAATCATTAAAAATGTGCAAGATGATATCAAAATCGGAAACAAATACGGGGACATGTTAGATTCCATGTGTGACATCTTAAAGCTGCCGTAACAATACTTTAGGAAAAAAACAGATTGTCACTAACCAGCCCTAATGCCAGTCTGGCTCCTTCAGGTCTCTGAGTTAAGACAACAGCTTCGAATACGAGGTTTGCCCGTGTCCGGTACCAAGACGGCCCTCATGGACCGACTCCGGCCCTTCCAGGACTGCTCTGGGAACCCTGTGCCCAACTTCGGTGACATCACGACGGTCACCTTTCCGGTCACGCCCAGCAACGCGCTGCCCAGTTACCAGTCCTCCCCCTCCACCGGCGCCCTGTCCAACGGCTTCTACCACTTCGGCAGCACTAGCTCCAGCCCCCCGATCTCGCCCGCCTCGTCTGACCTGTCGGTGGCGGGGTCCCTGCCGGACACCTTCAACGACGCCTCTCCATCCTTCGGCCTGCATCCCTCCCCGGTCCCCGCGTGCGCTGAGGAAACCCTCATGGGCAGTCTGAACGGCGGCTCCATGCTTCCGGAGTTGGACGGGCTAGACTCGGAGAAGGACAAGATGCTGGTGGAGAAGCAGAAGGTGATCAACGAGCTCACCTGGAAGCTCCAGCAGGAACAGAGGCAGGTGGAGGAGCTGAGGCTGCAGCTGCAGCAGCACAAGAGGAGCGGCTGTCCCGACAAGAAGCCGCCGCCCTTCCCGGCCGCCCCCATCAAGCAGGAGGACGCCGTGTCCAGCTGTCCTTTCTCATCCCGGCAAACGGCCGTGAAAAGACAGAGCACCGGCTCGGAGGGCCAGCCGCCGCCGCCTCGCGAAGACGCTCAGCTCCTGCCCCTGGGGAGCACTCACTGTGCAGAGCCCGCGGGTCAGACCAACGTACTGTCTTCCACATTCCTCAGCCCGCAGTGCTCACCGCAGCATTCGCCCCTCGGGGCTGTGAAAAGCCCGCAGCACATCAGTCTGCCCCCGTCGCCGAACAACCATTACTTCCTTCCCCCGTCAGCAGGCGCCCAGGGAGAAGAACACAGGGTCTCCTCACCTGCCGGCGGCCAGGTGTGCACTGCGCAGGTAAGAACTGGCCCCGTGCTCTTCCTGAAAGTGCAATGCAAAGTTGCAACTGCTAACCAGCTGACCTTGGAATTTTGCACGGGGAGGGTTTGCTAAAAGTCTGACAGTAACTCCCGGGCACCACGATCCACAAGCCTTTATGGTTGGACAAACTCACGAGACAAAGATGGCAAACTTATGCTGTAAAGAGCTAGATGATAAATGTTATTTCTTTGTGGAATGTACAGTCTTTGTCATAGCCACTCAGCTCTATCCCTGGAACCCAAACGCAGCCATAGACAACATGGTAAATGAATGCACATGGCTGTTCCAATAAAGCTTTATTTATAAAAACAAGCTGCGGTCCAGATTTGGCTTATGGGGCTGTTCCCAGCACTCCTGGGTGTCAAGCTTTATTGTAGGCCAAACTAACTCATCAAGAGGGCCAAAGGGAAAGTTACTGTTCTCTCTGAGTAATGGTCTATAAAGTGCAAATATTTACCTACTGTGTGCCAGGCTGTGTTCTAGTCTCTGGGGATTAGTGTTGAGTTAGCCGGACAAAAATCCCTATTCTCATAGGGAGATAGACAGTAAACAAAAAATCTAAGTAAAGTATTTAATATATTAGAAGATGAAACATCTTACAGAGAAAAAACAGACAAGGAAGATGAGAAGTTTGGAAGTCTAAATGGAAGGGCCAGGGACATTGGAAGGGGGTAAAGGAGAAAACCTTGTAAGTGTTTGGGGTGAAGGCATTATAAGCAAAGGAGGAACCGCAAGTGCGAGGGCCCTGTTCTAGGAGCATGTGTGGGATAGTCCAGGATCAGAAAGAAGCTGGTGTAGCTGGAGCAGAATGAGGGGAGTCGTAGGGATGGCTCAGAAGAATATCTGGTTCAAAGACTAGACCAAGGGGAGCATCCAAGACTTCCTCTGTCCATGAAACCAAAAAATAATTAGAAAAGTCTAAGCCTCTTTGAGAAAGAAAATTACAAAGGTTCTGAAATCTATGTTATTAGGAAGGGAATAGGAAGAAAAATTAATTGGATCCCTGCCATGTGCCAGGTATTAAGGGGCATGTACGGGACTTCCCTTGTGGTCCAGGGGCTGAGACTCCATGCTGCCAGTGCAGGGGACCTGGGTTTGATCCCTGGTCAGTGAACTAGATCCCACAAGTTGCAACTACAAATCCCCTATGCCACAACTAACACTGAAGATCTCATGTGCTGAAACAAATACCCAGAGCAACAAAATCAATCTATCAATACGTCAAAAAAATAACAATAAGATCTTTTTAAAAAATCACAATGTATTTTTTAAAAGAGGTATGTATGTGAGCAACTCATTAATTGTCAAAACAGCCTTGAGTGAGTGAGTGAGTGAAGTCGCTCAGTCATGTCTGACTCCTTGCAACCCTATGAACTACAGCCTACCATGCTCCTCCATCCATGGGATTCTCCAGGCAAGAGTACTGGAGTGGGTTGCCATTTCCTTCTCCAGAGGATCTTCCCGACCCAGGGATCCAACCCAGGTCTCCCACATTGTAGGCAGACGCTTTACCACCTGAGCCAGCAGGGAGGTCCTTATGAATTCCAAAATAGCCTTACGAATTCCAATTTGTTACTCTTCACTACTGAGGAAAATAAGGCCCAGGGAGGTGAAGCCAGTTGCCCAGGGCCACAACAACCAAGGATTATCTGATACTATTAATAAAATGTATGCCTCTTTCATGTTGAATATTCTCTATCCTGGGAGTATGAGGCGGGGTAATGCAGATACATTTTTATGAACCCACCAGAGCAACACATTCACATGAAGGATGCTCACTCCTGAGTGAGTAACACTCCCTCTGGGAGGAGCTGAAATTTAACATGATTCTCATCCTCATTGACAACAGGTGTCAGTGTGGTGTCCTCGGTATCAAAGGTAAAAGTAGCTCTTGAAATACCTCTGGACCAGAAGGTGCTCAAGTGAAGGATACAGGGGAACCACCACTTGTACAGTAATTGATGGCTAACAAAGCACTCTTTGAAGACATGAATGATTCCATGACAAGAAATAAATAAATAAAAAGACAAAGAGCGGTATAGGATAACATCACTGAGCGGCATGGTGTTAAATGCTACACGGAACCTTAGGGGAGTGGGTGTCGACCGTGAAGGGCTAGAGGAGTCTGCAAGGACTTGCAAAGGCATTGGACTTGAGAAGAGGAGCTGGAAGAGGAGAATCCAGAAAAAGTCATTCCATGTGAAAAAAGCATAAGGAAAATGTACAAGCTGTGGCTGGATTAGCAGAATTTAAGCTCACAGAGGGCTTCCCTGGTGGCCCAGTGGTAAAGAATCCACCTATAATACAGGAGACGAGGGTTTGATCCCTGGGTTGGAAAGATCCCCTGGAGAAGGCCATAGCAACCCACTCCAGTATTCTTGCCTGGAGACTCCCATGCACAGAGGAGCCTGGTGGGCCACAGTCCATAGGGTCGTAAAGAATCAGACCTGACTGAAGCAACTGAACATGCACACATGTAAGCTCCCAGAGGGAAATGAATAATGCTTGACCGTGGAGCATTTTGAAGACTCACCCTGGTTAGATGTGGGGACCCTCCATGGTAGATGTGTGGAAACCATGGAGTGTTTGTGAGCAGGAGGTGAAATGTCCAAAGCTGGATTTGAGACCTTGGTGATGGAATTTAGGGAGGTTTGGAAAGATAAGACACCAGGGCAGGGACCAGCCATCTCATTTGTCCTTCTTCCTCTCCGCAGAACTCAGGGGCACACGAGGGCCACCCTCCAAGCTTCTCTCCCCAGCCTCCCAGCCTGCACCCCCCTTTCTCTGGAGCCGCGGCAGACAGCAGTCATGGTGCCGGGGGCAAACCTTCTCCCAAAAGCCCAGGTGTGCAGCAAAAGGTAGGCACCTGGGGAAAGGTTTAAACTGGGAGCCAGCTTGGCCTCTTCTCTCTCTGGGGCCCCTCTCCCCCCCACCCCCGTGTTGAGGTTCAACCAGAAAGAAATGACATTTTGGATAGAAATAAGTCTACTTGAAAAGGACAGAAATGGAAGTACGGATATAAGTGAGAGTACTCCAAGGCATCATTTCCAGGGTTCATCCCAGAAATTATGACAACTAAAACGGCCTTGGCAGGTTTGCAAAAGAGCGTGGCAAACAGACCAAGTTCAGTGAAGTTGAAGATAGGAGTCAGGGCACATGGGGAAAAAAATGTGGAGAATGAGAGAAATAGTGGATTCTCAGAAATGAATGGAGAGGTGCAGAAAGTTGGAGTCGCTGTGGAAAAGGGAGGAGATGACACATGTCAGCAGACGGGAGACTCAGAGAGGTAAAAGATGCAGGATGTGGGGAATGCAAGGGTCAGTGGGAAGGTAGTCAGAAAGGAGGCAGACTTTTTATGTAGCAGCCTGGATGGGAAGGGGGCTTAGGAGAGAAAGGATACATGTATGTGTATGGCTGAGTCCCTTCATTGTTCACCTGAAACTACCGCAGCATTGTTTGTTAAAGAGCTATACCCCAATACAAAATAAAAAATACAAAAAAATTAAATAAAATTAGTCTTAAAAAAAAAAAAAGGTGGCAGACATGAGTTGGCCATGACACCGAAGTGCTGCATGCCATAGTGCAGGGCATCCTTGGGGATGGAGACTCTCTAATGTCCCGAGTACCCTCACAGAACACACTCACAGCACGCAGGGCTGGCTTATGAAGAGACACTCCAGCAATATATGCACATACACTCACTTAGGATTGAAATGGGCTTCCCTGGTGGCTCAGATGGTAAAGAATCTGCCGTCAATCCAAGAGACCTGGGTTCGATCCCTGGTTTGGCAAGATCCCCTGGAGCAGGGGGATCCAGTATTCTTGCCTGGGAAATCCCGTGGACAGAAGAGCCTGGAGGGCAACAGTCCACGGGGTGCAAAGAGCTGAATATGATTGAGCAGCTAATACTTTCATTTAGGAACGACACAGGCTGAGAGGCAAATTACTGTGGAAATGCCTGGGTTGATGGAGCTCTTTGTGTTGGACTGGATAGACACTTTGCTTCGTTTTCTTTTCTCATCTCGCTTTCTCCCAACAGACAGGGTGCGCTTTAGAGAACGAAAGTGAATTTCTGAGGCTCCCATCCTGAAATGCCTCCAGCATCATGTCCACAGTGATGTGCCCTGTTGTTGATATATATCTGTAACATCTCCGTGATATATATTTAAGCCCCAGCTCTTTTTTTTCCTTTTAATCAATTGTTTCTACAGTTGGCTCTATAGTTTCTAAGACAGGAGCTATATACAATGTCTGGTGCATGGATTGACCATCTTTCTCTGCATTTTACTCACGCAGATGGTGGGTCTGCACTCTTCTGATAAGGCAGGGCCAAAGTTTCCAATTCCGTCCCCAACGTTTTCCAAGTCCACTTCCACAGTTTCAGAAATAACTCAGCCGCCATCCTACGAAGATGCAGTGAAGCAGGTAAGCGCACGATTTGATCTTCATGGAAGAACAGACTGATTCACTGCATGTTGTTTTATATGATGTGGCTTCACGCGTGTAGATTCTGTTGCCTCCCCCGCCGGAACAAGCAGACTGTCCAGATGCTCACTGTGAAGAATCGTGGTGTGTGTAGAGACGCTGTGTGAGGCAGAGAGAGAGGAGGTTGACTTAGCACCCAAATGCCCAGACTTGGTGCCAGCTGCCATTGCCACAAACCCTGGTCAAGAATTCAACTTCTCTTCTATGAAATGAAGACGATATCTACTGGATAAGGGTTCTGGATGACATAGTATTGATCGCATTGTCCTGACACAAGATACGTACTCAAATATTAAGACATGAGAGTAATTGCTGGGGTAACTGTTTCTAAGGTTCTTCCTCACTTCAAAACTCAGTGATCCCAGGGACTGAGGTCCATGTAATGTCCTCCTCATTCCCATCCCCTGATATCTGTAAACATCAAATGGATCCTTTGTGGTTTCAAAAGAAAAGAAGAGGGCCAGGCAAAGTGGACTCCCACAGACAGAGTTTACTTAACTCAGATGAGCCAGAAGGGAAGGTGTGTTCACTACAAGTGCAGTGGGGAGCCAGAGAAACAGGAGCCACATCCTCAGCACCCAAACGGGAGGCAGTTCCAAATCACTTTATTTCTTATTTTCTTTATTTGGGTCCTTTCTTCTTGGTGAGCCAAAGGTTTGTTGATTTTGTTCACTGTTTGAAAGAACCAGCTCTTGGATTTATTGATTATTTTTTCTATTGTTATTTCATCTCTATCTTATGTAATTCCTCTCTGATCTTTAATGTCCTTCCTTCTGCTGAGTTTAGGTTTTGTTTGCTATTTTTCTAATTTTTTTTTTTCCCCAGCCCCCTTCCTTAGTTGCTTTTTTTTTTTTTTTTTTTGCCACACTGCACGGCATTAGAGATCTGATTCCCCAACCAGGGATAGGACCCACACCCTCTGTATTGGGAGTGCAGAGTCTCAACCACTGGACCACCAGGGAAGTCCCTCTAACTGTTTTAGATGATAGGTTAGGTTGTTCATTTGAGATTCTCCTTATTTTATTGAGGAATTTCGGTATCCCTATGAACTACCTCTTAAGAACTGTTTTCGCTGCATCCCATAGATTTTGCATGCTTGTGTTTTTATTGACATTTGTCTCTCAGTTCAGTTCAGTCTCTCAGTCTGACTCTTTTCAACCCCACGGACTGCAACATGCCAGGCTTCCCTGTCCATCACCAACTCCTGGAGCTTACTCAAACTCATGTCCATCAAGTCGGTGATGCCATCCAACCATATCATCCTGTGTTGCCCTCTTCTCCTTCTGCCTTCAATCTTTACCAGCATCAGGGTCTTTTCCAATGAGTCAGTTCCTTTCATCATGTGGCCAAAGTATTGGAGTTTCAGCTTCAGCATCAGTCCTTCTAATGAATATTCAGGACTGATTTCCTTTAGGATGGACTGGTTGGATCTCCTTGCTCTCCAAAGGACTCTCAAGAGTCTTCTCTAGCACCACAGTTCAAAAGCATCAATTCTTCAATGCTCAGCTTTCTTTATAGTCCAACTTTTAGACTAAAACCAACTTTTCTTTGTCTCTAGGTATCTTTTAATTTCCTCTTTGAATTCATCACTGACCAATTCATGTTTTAGTAGCATGTTGTTTAGCCTCCACATAAGCATTTTTTTCCATTGCTTTTTCTCTGATTAATTTCTAGTTTCATGCCATTGTGATCAGAAAAGATGCTTGATTGTTGAGGCTTATTTTGTGTCTTAGCCAAGTCACTTCAAAGTGATAAAAATGGCTGTACTATTTATATATCGAGGTGCCCATCTCCTGGGATGGAAACTTCTCAAACCACTGAATTTACTCTGAACAACTCTAGGCTAGGGATCATTCTGCCTCCTTTCCCCCCTTCTCTTGTTGTATCAGATTGTTTCATTTAGTGTTTTCCTGTCCAAAAGCACATGCTGCCAAAACCTTTAGCCAGCCTTTAGTCTGTATTCACGAAGGCCAAAAGGTGGAACCAACCCAAGTGGTCATTGAAGGATGAATGGATAAGTGAAATACGTATTCTATACATACAATGAATATTGTGCCTGCATGCTAAGTTGCTTCAGTCATGTCTGACTCTGTGCAACCTCATAGACTATACCCTGCCAGCCTCCTCTGTCCATGGGATTCTCCAGGCAAGAATACTAGAGTGGGGTGCCATGTCCTCCTCCAGGGGACCTTCCCCATCCAGGGGTTGAGCCCAAGTCTCTTATAGTCTCCTGCCTTGCCAGGTGGGTTCTTTATCACTAGGACCACCTGGGAAGCCCCACAATGAATATTACTCAGAATTAATAAGGAAGGAGATTCTGACCGCTGCTGCAACATGGATGAACCTTGAAGACATTATACTAAGTAAAATAAGCCAGCCATAAAGGGAAAGACACTGTGAAAGTGAAGGCAGCTCAGTCGTGTCTGACTCTCTGCGACCCCATCGTGGTCTATACAGTCCATGGAATGTTCCAGGCCAGAATACTGGAGTGGGTAGCCTATCCCTTCTCCAGCGGATCTTCCCAACCCAGGAATCAAACCGGGGTGTCCTGCATTGCAGGCTGATTCTTTACCAACTGAGCTATTAGGAAAGCACCAAAGATGCTGTATCAGTCCACTTATGTAAGACACCTAGAGCCATCAAATCCACAGCGACAGAAAACAGAGCAGTGGTGTCCAGGAGCGGTAGGGAGGAGGGGATGGGGAGTTAGTGTTTAATGGGGTCAGAGTTTCAGTTTTGCAAGATGAAAAAGTCCCAGAACTGAACAGTGGTGCCAGTTGCACAACCACGTGAATGAACTTAATGCGTTTGCATACTATACTCTGAAATGGTTAAGATGGTAAATTTTTATGTTGTCTGTAGTTTACCACAATTAAGAAAAAAAAACACTGCTAACCAAACCTAATTCAAAAACCTGCCATACTGCTTCCGATGATTTCCCACAGAAGCAGTCACTACGTTTTAATTTCTCTGTTCTCCTTTGGTTAATTGGCAACAGCAAATGACCCGGAGCCAGCAGATGGATGAACTCCTGGATGTCCTCATTGAAAGTGGAGGTAAGATATCAGGATGCTCTGCCCCTGTGTGCGCTCTAGGGTGTGGACTCTCAGGGCCGAGGTCAGATGCTCATTGTGAGTTGGACCAAAGAGCCGTGTCAGGGTGGAGCGTCCCTGCCTCTGAGCCTCCTGTCCATGTTTGGAGCAGATAAAAGAAGTCCTAGAGGGTGATCCCTCATCACCTTTGTTCCATTGTCCTCAGAAAACTTTTCAGCAGTCGTTTTAACAGTTTTCATCTTTCAGCTTGGTCCTTGTTTTACTAAATGTTTTTCCTGCTAAACCATTTTCCCTTACTGTTCTAATCCCAATGTCCCTCTCATCTTAATTATGAGAAGAAAGAAGCAGGTAAAGCAAGTCTACTCAAAATGAATCTCCCACCGATGGGCCCTTCACGTTCACACGTCATTCAAACAGTGACAGTGATCAGTGTGTTCTTTTTTGCCTTCTTTTAAGTCATTCATTTATTTCTTTCTAAACAGTTACATAGTTGTGCCTAAAATTTGAAAGCACACAAGTGACAATGATCATGTAAGGAGAATGTGTGGATAAAAAGGAAAGACTCCATATTGGAGACCTTAAGTTGTTGCTGTTTTTCAGTCCCTAAGTCGTGTCCAACTCTTTGCTACCCCATGGACTATAGCACGCCAGGCTTCCTTGTCCTTCAGTATCTCCCAGAGTTTGCTCAAACTCATGACTATTGAGTCAGTGATGCCATCCAACCATCTCATCCTCTATCATTCCCTTCTCTTCCTACCTTCAATCTTTCACAGCATCAAGGTCTTTTCCAATGAGTCAGCTCTTTGCATCAGGTGACTGAAGTACTAGAGCTTCAGCATCAGTCCTTCCAATGAGTATTCAGGGTTGATTCCCTTTAGGATTGGTTTGATCTCCTTGCTGTCCAGGGGACTCTCAAGAGTCTTCTCCAACACCATAGTTCAAAAGCATCAATTCTTCAGTGCTGAGCGCTTAAGTGACAGCATTGAAAGTTTCAGAGAGAAAGTGGCCAGGCATCGGACTAGGTCCATCCCTGAACCAGGCAAAGTCTCCACTTTTAGGGGGTTTGCTGTCTGGCAAGAGAGATGGGTGCCATGCAAGGAAACAGGCAGTTCCTCCCTTGTAACAAGAGGGAAGAAGAAAAACATGGGCACAGGTGTCTGTATCGTTGTTAAGTTTCTTGATGGAAAGATGAGCAGGTTCCTATCAGACACCATTATATTTTGTATTTAAATTTTTTATTTTGTATTGGGGTATAACCGATTAACAACATTGTGAAAGTTTCAGGTGAGCAGCAAAGGGACTTAGCCATGGATATACATGTATCCATTCTCCCCCAAATTCCCCTCCCATCCTGGCTGCCACACGATAACACTGATCAGAGTTCCCTGTGCTATACAGTAGGTCCTTGATTATCCAGTTTAAATATAGCAGTGAAGACACCCTTATGTTTTTAATGAAGTATGTGGCAAGGTCTGCAAACAGGGTATGGGAGTGGAACCTGGGGAATTCCAGGAAAGAAGAACAGTGATGAATCGATCACAAGAAACAACAGTAGGATCACCCTCTGTCTGTGCCTGAGTTTATGCGTGCGAAGTTGCTTCAGTCGTGTCTGACTCTTTGCGACCCTATGGACTGTAGCCTGCCAGGCTCCTCCGGGGGACCTTCCCGACCTAGGGATTCAACCTGCATCTTTTACATCTCCTGCGTCTTTTACATCTTACAACTGCAGGATGGCCGGTTCTTTACTACTAGCAGGTTCCTTACCACTAGCGCCACCTGGGAAGCCCCCTACTAGGTGGTATTAAGTGCCGACTATAGGCTTGAGAAGGAAATTGCAACCCACTCCAGTATTCTTGCCTGGAGAAACCCATGGACGGAGGAGCCTGGTACGCTGCAGTCCACGGGGCCGCAAAGAGTCAGACAGGACTGAGCGACTTCACTTTCACTTTATAGGCTTGACATCATGAATTTAAAAATGAACTGGGCAACTTCATTGTGTAATTTTTTCTTAAAAGTCCAGCCAATCCTGGAAGGGCTCAGAGAAAACAGATGGTCAGATTCATCCAGGTGTGGGGTTTTCCAAGGGGCTAGGGTGATGGAAGAAAGGGGCAGGGGGATTGAGGATATATGTGAGAGTAATTAGAGTGGTGGATCAAGAGTACAGACTGCACAAGGAAAGAAGTGAAAGCCAGGAAGTTGCCTGGTGGTCCAGTGCTTATGATGCCGTGCTTACCCTGCAAGGAAGGCAGGTTCGGTCTCTGGTTCAGGGAACTAAGATCCTGCATGCCGCATGTAGTGGCCAAAATAAATAAATAAATAAAAACCAGAAGGAGCTGATGGATGGTGACAAAATCGTGGGTCAGTAGACTGGGGTGACTCAAAATGGCTGAGAATTTGTTGTCAGAGGGGCCTTACGAAGTGAACTTGAGGAGTGGGAGGTGATGGACAGGTTGCTGGAAATGGTGAATGAAACTGAACTTTCAGAGGATGCAATGTTTGGGGCCACAAGATCCAGAATGTGTCCAGCAGAGTGGCAATGGCAGCATCACTTGCACGGAGGGGGGTGGGGTGTCAGGGAACAGAGAGGGCCTCTGGACAGCAAGTCGCTTCCGGGGTGCTGAAGTCACGGAGAGTTGAAGTGGAAGAAAGGCAGTGAGCCGGGCAGTAGTTTTTGATGGATGAGGAGGAGGGACCAGGAGACGGGGGTGTGGGTGGGGGGACATTGAGAGCAGGGTGACCTTCCAAACCACTGAGGAGTTATAACAAGGAGGAGGAGTAACGATCAGACAATGGTGGCAGGAAAGGACCTGATGACTCATCTTCTGGCTGGCAGCAAAGAGCCCCCAGTGAGGGTCTAGTGAGGATGCAGTGTCTTCAGGGGCAGCCAGGTGACAGTGAAGGAGCAGGTAAAAGCACCTGCTTTGAGCGTCTGATAATCGCAGAGTGGAATTTCCAGCAAGAGAGGGTTTGGGGAGAGACCCAAGGGAAGAACTTGCAATGTATAGAGTGGTTTAGGGGTGAGACTGGGTGAAGAGCCGTGACCCAAGAAGCATGGCCATCTCCTTCTGTAAGTCATTCATTCATTCATCAAACTTGAATGAATCTTTGGTCGATCTTTGAATGATCAATCTTTGAATGATCACAATCGATCAGAAGCGATTGAACAATTCCCGTTGTGTTTTACCAACAGAAATGCCCGCTGACGCCAGAGAGGAACATTCATGTCTTCACAGAGTCCCAAAGATCCCCGGGTCTTCTCGAAGCCCCACTAGTGCCCTCCCCAAGTCCTCGGCAGCCTTTGAACTGGCGTCTGCAGGAGGCCAGCTCTCCTTTGATCACTTTGGTGCTGACAGCGACGAGCACCTGGAAGTCTTATTAAATTCCCAGAGCCCCTTGGGGAAGGTGAGCGACACCACCCTTCTGAAAATCGGGAGTGAGGAGCCCCCTTTCGACGGGATGATGGATGGATTCTCAGGGAAGGCTGTGGAAGACCTCTTCAATGCACACGAGATCCTGCCGGGCCCCCTGTCCCCCATGCAGACTCAGTTTTCACCCTCCTCTGTGGACAGCAGTGGGCTGCCCTTAAGCTTCACAGAATCTCCTTGGGAAAGCATGGAGTGGCTGGACCTCACGCCGCCCAGCTCCACCCCAAGCTTCAGCTCCCTGTCTACCGGGGGCCCCAGCATCTTCAACATTGATTTCCTGGATGTCACGGATCTCAATCTGAATTCCCCCATGGACCTCCACTTACAGCAGTGGTAAACACCTGATGAAGTGCTAAGGAAGGCCAAGAGGAATCCCATTGGGGAAAGCACATGACCACAAATATTTACATTCTCCCAAGGAAGGAGGAGCTAGAAGAGGGGGAGAAGAAGAAGAGGGAGGAGGAAGAAGGGGAGGAGGAGCTGGAGAGAATGAAAAACAAGCATGGAGACTTCTGTGATGACCAGAAAGAACAAACAGGAGCCTTTTTTTTAAATAGATGGATAGTGTAATATTTGCCAACATTCAGTGACCGTTATTGATTTCAGCAATGCTTTCAAAATTATGTTTTTTCAGATCAAGAATGCAAAAAGAAATTTTCTTCCAATGCCTTTCAAACACTAACCTTTTTTTCTAGCTTGTATTTTTTTTTCAGGCACTGTTGGGGCATAATGTCACTTTGTAAGCTTTTCTCATGAATTTGTTACTCTTACTGTGGAAAGAAGTTGTAAGCTCTCTGGGGAACACACAGAAGCCAGTCCTTCAAAGGTGATGGAAGTCGTACCCCTGAAGGCTGCTTCTCCTGTCTCCATCACCCGCCTTTCAAAATAGAGGTCAGGCCCAGTGTCAGGTTCTTAAGGCAGAACAGAGGGACAGGACCAATCCATTCCCAGGGAAGTGAAGTGAACTCAGTATCCCTTGGCCACAAAGCCACCCCCTACAGTGACCCCAACCCTGTACCCAGGACTCCATGTGGTCACTGAAAACAACCGACCTACCTTTGGCCCAAAGAACCCCACCTGAAATTTCCCTTTCTTAACCAGTGGCCGGATCACTGTCACTGTCTCCGTGGTGATGTGTGTGCTCGGTCGCTCGGTTAGCTGTGTCCAACTCTTTGCGACGCCCTGGGTTGTAGCCCGCCAGACTCCTCTGTCCGTGGGATTTCCCAGGCAAGAATACTGGAGTGGATTGCCATGTCCTCCTCCGTGGGATCTTCCCCACCCAGGGATCGAATTCGGGTCTCCTGCATTGGCAGGTGGATTCTTTACCACTGAGCCACCTAGGAATCCCCGCCATGGTGTTGAGCACTGTGAAACAGGAGAGAACCCTAAAGCAAGAAGAGAGACAAAACCTCCTGCCATTCTCCAGCACAACCTCCTTTAGTGTCAAAGACTAGAGATGACCATGTAAGCAAATCAAAAGTATCTCTCTGGTCTCAAGAAACTGTTATCAGGAATAAGGCAGACAGCACAAAAGAACATCATTTCATGTATGATGGGAATAAACACAGTGGGTTACTATTCATATAACAGGGTGATTATTTATGGAAGTTTGGCTTCTCTTTTTATTTTCTTATTGGAAGGAGGGGTTCACCTCCATTATCTTTCTCCCACTTTATACTTTTCTTTCAAATTCTCCATCCTTTCTCTCCCCTCTTTTGAAGATCTCCCTTTCTCTGCCTCAACATTGGGAGAAGAGGATTTCATCCATTTACCAGCTGTCCTACTGCTAATAAAACCATACGTTAAAAAGCTGAAAGTCAAGGTTCTCCTGGGTAACTCATTCTCCATCTGCATAATAACTTGCTGTAAAAGGAAGTCAAAAGAAAGAAATCAAAGGAAAGAAACCAATGATTCCATCCACAGTCATGAAGCTCCCCCTACCCCCATTTGGTTGGCAGTCACTGATTTGGGTTGCTCTGGGGAAAACCGGAACTCGTTATGTTGTAAAGGTAAATACAAAGTATAATTCCAAGGAAAGAGTATTTTAGATCTGCGTTTCTGAAAGAAAACACAATTGCATGTCGAAAAGGATGGAAGGAAAAAAAGATGATGGTCTCCTGTGCATTCCTCACCACTTCCCCTGCTTTTGCTGGGAGTTGAAAACTTAAATTGCAGGATCGTCTCTAAGGCTCACTGTGGTTCTAATGCACAGATTCATAGTGTTGCATGCTGTAGAAGGTAGCTCTCGCTGTTTTTATTTTTTATTTAAATCACTAAGGCACTGTTTTCTTCTTTTGTAAAAAAAAAAATTGTTCACTGTGCACTTATGGAGAAAATAACCAAACATGTTGTGATTTTAGAAGTTCTCTTTTTGAAAAAAAAAAAAGATTTAGAAGTCATTCCATTGTTAACCTGTTAACATGTGTGAACACAGAGTGTTTTTGGTGATTGCTACTCTGAAAGCTGCCGCATCTTACTGGGGGGGTGGGGAGGGGAGGAGGGGAATATCTATATTATATATGTATATATATATATATATATATATATATATACACACACACACACACATATGCATGTGTGTATAGATATATACATATGTATATGTATGTGTGTCTATAGGTATGTGTGGATATGTGTATCCATATATACACATCCATATGTACATATACATACACATGTGTGTATGTGTGTGTATCTTCAAGGCAGTGCAACGGAGTTCTATACCAAAAGCCTTTAAGCCTCCATCTGCTGTGAAGTGGTCTTGGCCTTTCTCACTGCGCGTTCCCGATTCATCACCCAGACTGCAAGTTGCTTCTACGTATGACTCATGGCTCTAACCCAGTGACGCACAGCCAGCTGCTTACGATGAACAAGCCCGTCTCGACAGTGACTGTGATGTGAAGATACAGGGAGCATTCACCTTTGGTCACTGGAAAGGTACTGCCTCCTCTCACAGAGAGCAGCGGTGGAAGGCGACCATCGTTTTACATTCCTTCATCGGCCTTGTGCTTTAAAAGAGCCACACGGTACATTTTCCACTTTGCTTTGATGTCTGTCATCAAAACCAAAGATCCTGAGGGGAAAATTGCCATCTCTTCTTTGATGATGAAGCTATGGGGAAGGAAACCTTCCTGACACATTCCTCACCTTTGTGTGTTCCTCAGACGTTGACATTTTGGGGGGGGGGGGGAATCTTGACAAAGCTCGCTGGTCAGTCTGCTTCTCATGTGCCAAGTTGTGTGAATTTTTTTATCTTATTTTTATTCCCCTTCCTTTGGAAAACAACCTCACAGCAATCTCTGAGACTCTGGTCTGAGTGTCGATTATTTTTTTCCTTTGGGTATTTCTGTCTGAAGGGCTAGACTTGGCTAGGAGGCCTCTGTCTTTGTAAGACTATGCATTTTCATTGGGATATTTTTAGGCTATTATCTGGCACTGACATATATGCCTCACAGTTAACGAAAGATATTTGCTGCTACAAACCAGCACACAACCCGGAGCAGACTCCAGGATCATTGCTTTCAACCTCCACCCACAACCCCCACCCACCATCTTCACGCTCTCTTTCCTTAGATCAAATGTGAGATTTGAAAGATAAAACTGAGGATAATTGGGAAAAGGTTGATGAAGCTGGTTGCTCCCTGATCATCCGTGTTAATTTATATTTCCTATAAGGGATTTTTTTTTTTAAGTTCTTTTAAACTCTTAATTGTGTCTTCTATTCTGGTGACAAATTGGGCATGACTAAAAGATGTTCAGAGCCTTAAGAAGATGGCCACGGTCAAGTTTCTTAAGGCTCTTAGAGCATGAAATTGACCACATGTGTTCCTCTCAAGGTCCCCAGGACTACCCTGTGGTAAAGTGACCTGCAGACATTTGCAGCTGCTGCCAACTCTGGTGCAGTCCTATGGGTTCACCCTTATCCCACGGATTCAGGAAATTCCTTTGTCTTTCCATTAAGCCTGTGCTCAGTAGAAGCCCTGCTTCTAACAGTGTTATTGAGATGATACACATTCTACTAGAAGGAAAGGGAGAGGAAGGGGGAAAGGAAAGAAGGAAGGAAGGAAAGAAGGAGGAAAGGAAGGAAGGTCAGGTCACAGCCTCTCAGTTCGGCTGAGACATTATGTTATGAAAAAGAAATCGAAAAGCTTGGACTGAGAAACCATTCTTTCCATGAAGTGATTGCCCCGGCAGATAAGGAAAGCAGGAGGGTGTTCAGTTGAACAGTCAAGGGTCTGTGAACTGGTGGCCTTTGCCATCCAGAAACATTTATCTCCAATCTGAACCAAAGGCGGGGGGGGGGGGGGGGGGGGGGAATCAAAAACCTACCCCAAGCGTTCAAGACAGTCTTTTCTAAAGACCTCTTGAAGAGGTTTCTATCACCTCTTCTAGAAACCAGTGCTGGTTTGGCCGAAAACTCCTGCATCAGATTTACTCATCCAGCAGATAATAACTTGATGTCTTACCTGTGCAGAGCACATCCCCTGTCCCAGATGTCCAGTACCACATAGACTCTGCACAGACGGTTCCCATCTTGAGGGACTGGGAGGTTGCAAGAACCCTACTAATTTCCAAGTCTTCCAACCAGAATCCCTTTACCTATGATGACAAGGGGGTCTTCCTTTTCCCAAAGGGGAGGAGGCTTTTTAGCTAAAACCTACACCCATGCTGACATTTTTTTTTTCTTCTGTGATCAAACAGCAGCATCATATGACTTAGCTGTCTTTCTACCACTTAAAACATCTGTTTGAGCTTTTAGGATTTGTCTTCATTGCCAGATACAGAAACATTTGGAAAATCAGAGAAGTATAAAGGAAACTTATTATTATTTTGTCCCGTGCCTTCATCTTGATCTTCAGAACAAGCTCTCTGGACAAAAGGGACACTTAGAGGGTACGGTGTCCATGGAGAGCCTCTATCTTTTAGGGAGAAAATGCTGCAGGATTGGGGGGCAGCTTGGCCCCCCTTCAGGGCTTGGCTGTGGTCAACAGATGCACCAAGTTTGCTGTCAGCTGTGAGAGAACTCAGAGTGAAAGAGTCTGGAGTCTTAAGTTTTCTCATAAATCCAGTAGAAATCAGCAGGGTGGATAAGATGAGGAAACTCAACTAGTGCTTTATTAGATGATATTACTAGACACACAACAAGACAGTCCTATAAGCTAGAGAGCCGCTCAGCGTGGTGAGGAGCTGGGTTTGATTCTGGAATCCACATTTTCAGAGGAGCCCTGGCTAGGGTGAGACTATGCATTAGGAAATGACTTTAAGACCGGAAGAGATCCGAGAAAAATTTCTCTATTACCTCCCAGGGAAATTGCTATAGACTCATTGGGTTTGATAACATGAAAAAGTTCCCTTCTGATGGTAGGAGTTGGTGGAATCTAAGTTTCTAGAATTTTATGGATTAAGACAAACTCCTGGTGGTCTCTTGTGCTTACTTCAATCACCTTTGGTCTTGTGAGTTCCCTGTGTGTGCTTTAACAGCTCCAGAGGGTTTTGGGGAGAAGGTCATAGAATGATGGGGATCCTGGAGGCTGCTGTAATGTTTTCCAAAGGAAGGGAAGCCACACTGCTCCCCAAAGTTCTCTCCAACGTGCCTGCAGCGAGGAAAGAGGGCAGTGCACAGCTGGGTGCTTGAAATCCTGCCTCCTGGAAACACAAAGAGGCACTTTGCAAAGAAATCCAAAGAGCCAGCATATGTTCTCTGCAGGGACCCCGTGTGGTGGAGCTTTCATGTCAGCTCCTTCGCTCAACTATGCATAACTAGGAAGAAATGTGGGTGACCAGGAAGAGAAAAGAAGCAATGGCTAAATACCAAAGTTGGCATGTGTTCTTTTTTTAAAAATATATGTATATTTTTAAATAAAATGTTTATTTTAGAGAGAGATGAAATCTTTTTTTCTTGACTCTGCAATGTACCAGGCATTGTGCTGTTATTTTGTAAAATCCCCACAATGGTACCATGAAACAGTATCACAATCACCCCCAGTTTACAGATGAAGAAACTGAGTCCAGAAAGGCTGAGTTAATCACTTAAGTTTACACATCTGAAACCTGGCAGAACCAGGGATCACATTGTACTTATCTGCAGTGCTTTTGATCTCATACACTGTACATCTCACCCACACTAATCAAATGAGGACGTTAGTGAGCCTACAATTATGTATATGCTATTAAAATACACGGAGTAAATTGTGAATTAGTTTGATAAATCACTGGTGCCCTCCTTATTCTATAGATGTAAGAACTTCAAGGGAAATTCAACACACTGAATTCAGTACAGAAGAAATGATGGAGTGATGGTAGGGGTTGGAGTGAAAGTAGTAACTTAAGATTCCTTAATAAACCAGCCAAGTAGTTGGTGACTCAACTAAGAAAAACAGTCGTCAGAATAGAGACTAAGGTAGTTTTAAAACATGTTGATAGAATGGAAAGTATGGGACTTGATCATGGGATGGGAATGGCAAAGGAGAGAGAGGTTTCAGATCTGGGAGAGAGAGGTGGATATTCATGTGTGCATGCTAAGTTGCTTCAGTCATGTCTGACTCTTTGTAGCTCCATGCACTATAATCCACCAGGCTCCTCTGTTCTGGAGTTCTCCAGGCAAGAATACTGCAATGGATTGCCAGGCCCTCTTCCAGGGGATCTTTCCCACCCAGGATGGAATCCACATCTCTTATGTCTCCTGCATTGGCAGACGGGTTATTTATCACTAGCACCACCTGGGAAGCCCAGGTGAATGTCCAGTGTATGTTAATTCCATTCATAGAGGCAAAAGGCCAGAGTGAGTAACCTTAATACGAAAAATTGTGAATCTGAGTGTCTGTCGCCTGTAGGACACTCAAGTCAAAAGCATTCACTAGGGAGGTCTGGACCTCAGAGTCCTTTGCACAGAGATTTAGAGATGGGAGATAACAGCATTCAGAAGGTCACTGAAATCATGAGGATGGCTGTGACCTACACAACCTGTGGGTGATAAGAAAACGGGATGCCGAAGACCACCAACACGGTTCGCTGTTGGCAGAGGGG